TCGCAGGACCTGGTCCCACCTGCGACGAGCTCCTCGGTACCCCCGCGTGGGTGGTGCTGGGAGGCGGGCTTCTGCGAGGACCAAGTCCCAGAGGACGGCTCTCTCGTCCGGTGCGGTGAGCCACGTAGGCCAACACGTGCAGGGAACCTCCAGGACTTCAGGCAGCTCTTCCACCACCAGCATTTATCTCTTCAAGCCACGTCTACTGCCAGCACTTCCCATAAAGCCAAGAGGTCCTTGGGTTGGTTTCATGGCCAGATCTCAGGGTTACACTGATGTACACCAGGCACGGTTTAGCTTCTCCAGCTCACCCTCCTACCGACTATTCCCCGTTCCCACCCGCAGCCGCTCCCTTCAGGCACACGGCAGCACTGACTGCACCCCATCATCTTAAAGGTCTTTTCCAACCTAAATGATTCTGTGATTCTGTTTATAACCTTCATCACGACTCTTCAGTGCAGGCGACATGGGACGGTGCATCCACATCCTCAGACGTCACTGGCTCCTGTCACTGCGCTGATAGCACGTCGTAGCACCCATCTTACAATTCCCAGCACACGCCCCCGCAGGCACAATTTGGGGGGGGGGAATAAGGTCAAAATTGCAAAGGTGCATTCAGTTTGTTAGAATTGGAAACATTCCCCCCCCACCTCAGAAGCTGAAGTAGGACTTCCAAAGAAAAATGAAGATCGAAGGCAAAGCAACCTCCCATTGCATCTCAGAAGAGGAAATAAAAATGTGTAAAATGACTAAATCGGGAAACAGAAGCGACAGAGCAGATTTAAGGAAACAGAAGAAAAAGCAGTTGTTGCTCAGGTACCTGCTGAAGGATAAGGGCAAACCAGATCTCAGTAACCCTCCCATCAAAGTGGCCGTTTGCCCCGATACATCTGATCAGCATGAAATATGTCCAGGAAAACACTGAAGTAACCCTCAGCTGTTACAGATATAATTCAGGCTCCGGGGCAAAAACTAGATATTCGTGTAAAGGAAGAAATTCAATATGCAAAACTACTGAAACAGCATCACATCTTCAAAACTTTAATAATAGCTCCAAGGTTTTTTGAAGGCTCCTATCAAAATAAGTTACTTTAAAAATACATACAAAACCAGCAGAGAAATCCCTCTCAACTTTTTCAGTATAGAACACACAAACTAACATCTACTTTACTATTTGCCTGTCAATCATGAGATATAAGAGTACATTGCAATGGTGGAACTGATGAGAAAACAGCGTTACATGTCCAAATTTCAAAAACCACTTTAACAAGAGGTTATAAAAACAAACAAGCCCTAAGAAATCGCTGTGGTGCAGGTTCTAATCCTGTGGCTCATGAACTATGAAAACTCCCATGGGAAAACTGATAACTTGAAAACAACAACAACCAAAACTTTCATCAATGTGCTCAAAAGGAATTATCATAGTAAGGGTCCTCTTTTTTTTTTTAATGCTGAGTGTAGAGTGTAAAGAACAAAAAGAGAAATTCACAGGATTTAACAGAAACGGAGTCAGTCCGACGGCTTTTGAATGCACCAAAAAATAAAAGCAGTAAGTTAAAACAGACAGAAAATTTAGCAGGTGATTTAACTGTGTTTGTCAGTAGGGAGTAGTGGATTTGCAACGAACTACCGCTTGTTTTTAGCTTGTAGCTGACAGAAGTAGCACCTCTCTACTAAGCTTCGTTTCATATATTATAGAACACAAAGCAGCAAAACCTGAAATAACTTTGCCTGTTGGTGTCTCACACCACTGTCCAAGAAATTACTTCTTAGGCCCTACTTCTGCCAGTTTGCTAACTTAGCAGTCACCAATACATACGGTGTTAACTTTGTTGTACAACGTATAGTATCATCGCTCTCTATACGCACACTGATACTGCCACGGAGATGCTGCGATAGTAAGGTCTATTCAAATAAAAGATTAAAATCTATTCTCTAGCGATAGCCTTCAAAGGTTATCTAGATAGTCATGGTAGCCATTTAGCAAATTCAATGCCATTTAAAAGAGCAGCTAAGACAGACAGACAGACAGAATATTCCTCTCCCGAGGTCATAAAATGGTCCGTTTTGATAGTTGCAAATAACATTTTCCAGAGAAATTATGTGGCCAGCTGGCAGAAAACACCCACCGACCAGCAAATTTTCTGTTTTAAAAGCTAAGGTGACCAACCACTTATTTCTAGTAACCTGCCTGGCAAGTGCTCCATGCCCACAAGAGTACACGGCATTATTTCAGCCTTTCACCCAGCTCTGGAAAGCGTCAGTGATTTATTGGTCTGAGCATGAACCCCAAAAAACTATTGAAGGGACTGCAAATGATAAAATGATGACATGCGTCATTTGCTGCAGAAGTTACAGCTGCACAAATTTGGTTTAATGGATGAGTATAAGACAGAGACAGTATTTTAGTCACAGGCAGAAGGAAAAAGCCCAGAATTTCCTGCAAAATTACTGATCGATGACAAATCTGAACCACAGTGATTCTGCCATAGCCATCCAGAAACTCAGCAGATCAGCACAGATGACAACTGAGGCGGGTTTGTGCCTTGAAACCCGTGAAATTGTGGTTTTTATTTTTTAACCGAGTACACAGAACAAGTTTAGATCAAATTAGCGGAAATGGGAGACGAGTTCCAAATGAAGAAACCTGCAGAAATTCCTATTTCTGTAACTCTTCCAACAAACACGCTATAAGCTAGGAGTAGTAAGATGGCTGTGGACTTGCTGAAAAACCTCAACACACACGCTACTACAGAACAGGAACCCTGCAAATACTGACCCTTAAAATGAAGCCACTACAGGATTCCTCCCTTTTGGATAATTTTACCGCCACGAACAATAAAATTAATCCGATGTGCCATACTGAACTGTCGATTATTGCCATGGTGAACAATTCACTTCCAAGTAACTCAGAAGGCCCTGCAAATCCCTAGGAGCATACTAAGAGGAGGGGACGGGTCCTCCCAGCTGGGTCACAGCACCAGGCAGGCACCGACAGCTCTTCTGGGGATGGAGGTAGTTGATCTGTCGCCACACCACCTACAGATGCACATCTGCGTTCCCCACCGAGAGTCTGCACGTAAAATATTCAACAGTTCTCCTGGTCTGCCTGTATTGTGCCCTGTGTGATGCCACTTTTCTGCACCTTCAGAATGTTTATGGGAGAAATTTTAGTGCAGTATCAGGAATAACGGAGTTGCCTAATCAGGCCAGACCCACCGTACCACATCTCACAGTAAACTGCAGGGGCATCAGTTAAAAGGGGAACATGCAAGCAGGAATAACCCGCGCGAACTGAATCCTGATGCCAGCTTGCTTCACTACTCCTTCGTTATGCCAGCACGAAGAAAGAACAAAGGACACAAAGATAAATTCCATTGTTTTATCCATGACTAAACCTCCAGGTGGTTGTGCTTATGTTAATGTCTGATGCTGAACTGTAGCTCTTCTGTTTCCCTGCAAAGAATTAAGGATAGAAGTTTTTTCGTATGTGCTCACACTGGCCTTTGTTTCCCAGTGGGAATCTAATCGCGGCCTTAGCGGGAGCTTTAAAAGCTGCCGAGCACTTTTGAAAATACCCCTGTAAGTACTTAGCCACAACTGCTTTTGGTATAAATAAGCAAAATATTTACTTACAAAGCATAAACTCAAAAACATGCTGTGGCAACTAAATAAATCTGGTCATCCATTCTGAATACAAAGACTGATTTCAAGCCATCAAAGCCTGTCAAAATGCATTTACTAGGTTGAACGTTCCTATAATATTAACCACCATTTTTCATTGTAAGCCACCTACTCATAAGCTTTAATGGATGAAATAGATGATCCTAGATAAATAAGATTTTGCTATAGGGAAGAAAGGAAATTATTAAGCTTAGTTTCAAATATCTGATGTGTTCAGTTATGAAGATTCACAATTACTATGAAAATGGTTCAGTTATCAGAATTCCTCTACTAAACTTTATTTATACAGAACTCATCAGTACAACATGCAGAGAGAAAAATCAGCACATAAGGATAACATGTTTATGTAAGAACATTTTCACCTTCCTGGAGTAGACTAGTAACATGGCATTACATTTGACAATGTTTATAAGCATATTCTTCCTCTCAGAAAGATACAGAAGAGTTAAACTGTTCTTACAGTGGAAACAAAATTACCTAAAAAGCACTTAGAAGTCAGGCAAGATGACAAGGCGGGCAGGCCATGATCCTGCAATGCTGGATCAACGCTGCTGCCCACTCAGACTTCCATGGAAGCGAGGGCATCGTTGACGAGGTTTATCTAGAAAGGGGACTTCTGTACGAGGCTTTTGTGTGATCTGTGCTCAACTTCCGACAGCACTGATTTGTGTAGAAGGGTACCGGTATTTTCCTCGCTGTTGACTGAATGCGGCCTGTCAGCAATGCTGGCAGCCCAGATGAGTTAGATCTTCAAAAGAGGTCTTTCTGCAAGGATCTGCAACATCTTCATTACTGCGTGTGCACGCACCCATTGGACCGAAAACTGTTACCGCTGACAAAACCTCAGGCTTCTTGTCGTGAGGCTGAAAAATCAGACAACTACTAGTACTAGCACGTTCTTTTGGAAGGGAAAGGCTTACTTGGTGTAGCATTAAACATAAGATGGCATACGATACCCAGGCTAAACGACAGTCATGATTTGCGAGGCTTACAAAGCAGGATATCTGCATCATGTCCACATGTACATCAAAAAGCATCATCAGCTTCACAGCTTCGTATTTACACGAAGATCGCACCCAGATCCACAACCCCAAATTCCATTAAGGGATGGTTTCAAGTGCCTCATGTGGCTTGTTACCCAGGACATCCCAGCCTTTGATGGTCATTTCACTTGACTTCTCCTTTTGTGCAATCCCCGTGTTGAATGCGCTACACAACATGAATATAGTGACCGGACTTTGTAATCCTTGTTTTTAATTTGTTATATTCAGTGACGCATATTGACACTTTGTTGTAAAAAAAAGTGAAAGACTACAGAGTGTAGTAAAAACTAGAAAGGCACCCTTTCATTTCAAAGCCAGAGGCCATTATAAGCAGGACCCTGCACCAATCCAGAGCCTCACTGAGATAAGTACGAGTGTGAAGAGCCACCAGCATGGATCAGCTTCCCGAGGTGGCACCGAAGGCATCTGCAAGACTTTCTGAAGTTCCCCATGCGTCATAACATCACTGCGGGCAAAAGTACTACGAATGAGACGTGTAGGTACGACTTTGGAAACCTGCAGAATGGACAAATAAACCAGCAGTTCTAAACCCCTGGTTTCAAAATTTCTAGCACATGTCCTTAAAACATTTTATCAGTTAAAACGGAAATCTCATTTCACTTAAGAGAAAAACACCTGACAGCTTCTCTGAAACTGCTGACCTGCAAGCATCGGAAGACTATAGGTGGAATCTTATTTGTCAAACTGGTGAATAATATTCTCCCAAACGCTTTCATTATGCTCAATTTCCTAAAGCATATACGGGGTAAGATACAAGAGAGCGGTATCAGATGGTTACTATTTCAGACACACATACCAAGAAAGGCTTAGCACTTACGGGAAATGCTGATGCCCCGTGACACATGCGAGATAATGGCAATGAACCAGAACCTGGTCACAGGATCCCAGCCTCCAGATGTTAAGCCTGTGCCAAGGCATTCACAGAAACAAGTGCCGATGTAGATAAAACAAAGGCGTTTACTTCTAAAGCAGGAGATGTATCAAGTGACACTATGATAAAAGCAAGGTCGTGAACACCAAGGGAATCCCTTGGTAGCGTATCGCTCGTTGCTATAAAGTACCGCTTAGCTGATGGATATTTATTTTAAAAGTGACTTAATGAAAAGATACATTTTGGAGATGTTAGAAGGTATGTCATGGATCTCTCTCACAGTAATTCAATAGAAAAAGATAACTATATATCCATCTCAACATCTATTTATCCGTAAGTGTCACCTCTTCCTGCTTTCTGTCCAAGTACATGGTAAAATGTAATAGCAGTCAAAAATCAATACCATCTCACGAGGAAACATCACTGCTCCACACTATGTGTTACTAAAGTAAGTTAAAAAAGTGCCCACAGTTATCTTCTGTGGGAAGTCCATCCTGTGCAAGCCTAAGCAATGATCCCTCCACCCAATCTGCGTGGGTGTACCAATAAATGTCACAGCCACTTCTGTGGGACTCTGTAGAGAGACATGAACCTCCACACGCTGCAGGAAATTAAGTTCAGGGTTGCATTTCTTGTATGCTTTTTAATGCCTTAAATGGTTTTTAAGTGTACGAAGCATGCCTTGTTTGCTGTCATTCTTGTTCCCTGGCATTATTCTGTCACTGTTGCTGGCAAACAAAACACACGGTTTTGTGTATATGTATGGTCCCACTTTTTTTTTTCCTCCTTATACATACACTCTTGGTTTTATAAGTCAAGGAACAACAATACTACCTAATTAAATGCACTTCTATATGATCAGAAAGAAGAAGAAAAAAAATCTATAGAATAACTGAATTTTAAGAGCCTAAATTACAGTGGAACCAAGACTTAGGGGGGAAAACAAATCCTGATGCAACTCAGGAACTTGAAATTGATTTTAACTTCTGACACTGATTATAAAAGATAGACATGCTTATCTCCACATGGCTTGTGTCAACAAACAGATCTGGACGGTAGCTTGCTTAAACAGCAGTCCAAATGGTGCTTTGTAAAAAGAAACAAACAGAAAACACAACCCAGATCCTGAACCCGACCGTAACTACGTCATGAGTTCAAGAGGATTAACCAGAAATAATTTGTGGGGTTATGTATAAGGTTTGATTTGCAGGACCTGAGAATATTTGTGTGCTTTCAACAGTTTCTTGCTATTTCTCTGTCATGAGTTGAAAAGTTACGCCCCCCCCCCCCAAAAAAAAGGAAAAAAAAAAAGAGGAGACTTTTACCAATAGTATGAGGCAGTTTGTTCAGTGGCAGAAAGGCTTATAAAGGAGAGAACTCTCCTTCTGGAGTGGGGGGAAAGGAGAAATCCAGCAGAAAATTGAGAAAAGGGAGATGTAGAAGATTAAAAACAAGATGTCAGAAAATACACGCTGGAAAAACAATTCTCAAATTCTGGTTTTAGACTTTCTATTTCAGTTTTGACTTTGGTACTTTCTCCCTGTGCCCAGCTGGGCATCACGGGGGGGGAGCTCTCTTTGCAGCAGCTTTCCGTGACCACTGGAGACTAAAACTTCAAGCATGTGAAATGCACTCTGCCCAGATGAACACATCGGTTAATCACCAAATTTTAGCTAATCTTTCAAAACCGATCACTTCAGCTGTGAAGAACGGGTCATCCACGGGGGTCAAACCCGACTGCTAAAGAGTTAGAAAATTCGACACGCCACGGCCGGGCCGGCGGGACTCGGGTCCGTTTTGGGGCAGGGGCGATGCACAAGCACCGCAGCGGCGAGGCGTAACCTTTAGCCTTCTGTTCCTGGGGCTCGCAAGCGTCATGCCTAAATTTAGAGTTTAAACCACCACCGACGCTGGCCGCATCAACGCGCGTTCCCTTCAACTTACAAAACCGAAAGCGTTTCCGAAACCGGCTTCGCGAACCGGCTCCCCGAAAGCGCCAACGCTCCCCCTCCGACGGGGAGGGCCGTCCACCGGCTCTGCCCGCCCGGCTCCGGCACCCGGGCAGTTTTCCCACACGCAGCGCAAGATTCATTTCCCCTTCTCCAACCTGTTCGACGAGCAAAACTGATGAAGAGCAGAGATGCCTCCCACAGACGGATTTCGGGGGGGTTCC